TGGGGAATTCTGGGAGTTGAAGTCCACACATCTTAAAGTTGCCAAGGTTGAGAAATATTGTTCTATATTGTTGCTATTCTTCTTAAAAGAAATAAATAAAGTGGGCTTTGAGCTGGGTTGTTATTCCAAGCTACAGCTTGCTGCCTTTGTCAAAGATCAGTTGCAAAGGGGGTGGGGTGGGGTGTGAAAATGAACCATCTAATGCTGCAGACAAAGACAATGTTCAAATGAGATGCATAACTTGGTGTATTCCACTGAACCACAAATTAGTCCGGATTCACAGGCACATTAATTTGATGTTGATGATGAGCAAGGTTAACGCTAACCAAGCTTACGATGCTGCGCCAAGGCTTGTAAACCAGGTTCATAAATTAGCTAGTCAAGTGTGTTATGTGTACGTACCTAATGCCAGTCCTTGGTGTATTTTCTCTCACCTTTTGCACATGACCTGTGCAACGTGGATAGGTGGGTGGGTGGGAGGGAAGGTACCTGTTGAAATGCATAATCTAATTTTATTTGCTTCGCCGGCAGGGCTTGGAGGCACCACAAATGTCATGGGCAGGGAGTCCTAAGCGTTCCCATCTTCTTCTGCTGAACTTGGCAGGGGTGGTGTTGGAACAGGGGTGGATCCACAGGCACGAGCACACTCAGATGCTCCCAACTGCTGAATGTTCCTGATGGGAAAGGAAAGAGCCTTCAGGATGAGTCGCTGCTGAAGTTCTGTCTCTGGCCGCCTTGCTCTGAGTCAGGACTGGTGGGTGTTGCTCCACCCCCATAGGTGTGGCCTGCTGGTGACGAGATGTGGCTGTCACGCAAAACACAGGGATACACTCACAGCCTAGGCATTCCCACGCCGAGGCAAGGCTTGCCACTGTCCCACTTGGAGCCCAGCCAGAAATGCAACACTGCCCGTGCCATCCACCCAGCCCAGAGGAGGTGGGAAATTGCACCCATGTGCACCACTGCACAGAGCATGCCTGCAGCCAGATTTCTGAGTGTGTGTGTGTGTGTGTGTGTGTGTGTGTGTAGTGTGTGTATTTTCTTAATTTTCTCTGAAGGCGGGATTGGAAAAACACACACATTTCGTGGGCAAGATAGAAAACTAGAATTCTGTGATGGGAGATGCCAGCCCCGGATCCAAGTTTTCTCAGATATCGTTTTTGATTGTAACTTCTTTGAAGCAAGGCTCCGTCATTTGGCACTCTGTAAAGACCCATGCACATCGAGGGCGTCATAAGAATGTTAAGCAGTATGCCAAACTAGAAGTAAATATCCACTTTTGAATACATTGTTTTAATGCCCAGGAAACTTTGTGTACAGGTTGAGTTCAGTTCCTGGTGACTTCAGGGTGCTGCGTTTTTCTGGAATTGTCTGCAACTTCCCAAGCTGGTCTAAACACCAGGATCTTCTTATTCAACTGCTGTAATCAGGTCTGAACTTGCTCAGCTTCTGATTCCAGACGATATATCCAGGTATTAGTTTAGAGATAGGATCCTTGGTACACTGGGTGGTTGTAACTGGGTTGTGTGAATATGCATTGCGTTTCTGTTTTATTATACCTTTATTGTTACCAGCCAAGAAAAGAAACTGACGGATCATTGAACAAATCAACCCAGAGTTCTCACTCGAGGCACAAATGACCAGGTCAAAATTATCCTACTTCAGACACATTATGCAAAGACCCAGCTCTCTGGAGAAGCTCTGATGCTGGGAAAGGTGGAAGGAAAGAGAAGAAGAGGATGACCAGCAGCAAGAGTGTTAGACTGTATTACAACAGTGGTGGGTACACCACTGGAAGCCTGAAGGACCAGGCAGGAGACAGATCCTCCTGCAGAAGATCAATCTATGTGGTTGCTAATAGTCAACACGGACGCAATGGCACATAATCAATCAACATGAAGACCGAGTTCCCTGAAGAAGTCCATAATGCTGGGAAAGGTGGAAGGAAAGAGACGAAGAGGACGACCAGCAGCAAGAGGAATGGACTCAGTTACAGGGGCGATGGGGGCACCCTTGGAAGGCCTGAAGGACCTGGTTGGGGGACAGATCCTCCTGGAGAAAATCCATCATGTGTTCTCAAGGAGTCGAAAATGACTTGATGGCAAATCAGTCAGTCAGTCAATCAATCAATCAATCAATCAATCAATCAATCAATCAATCA